AGGAATGGAGAAAATAGGGTAAAAGACAAATCAAACAGGGAAGGTTGCAGAAAGCCAAAAAGAGATGCCATTTTATATAACTCAAATGGGGGTAGAAGGTGGAAAGAGCAATGAAATAAGCAAAATTAAGTCTAGATATAAAACATTTTAAGTTAACAAAGGTTACAACATTGCAGGAGATAATATATTCCAAATGTCCTGTCCTATGTGTTCTTTTTATATGACAGTGATATTATTCTTGAGTGGTACGATGTATGTCCCTTCCCCTTGAAACTTGGCAGACCTTTGTAATTGCCTCAATTAATAAAATACAGCAGAAGCAACACCATTTAACTTCTGAGGATAGGTAATAAAAATGCCACACATTTCTGCTCCCCTATTCTTTTTTTCGGTGGGGCGGGGGGACTTGCTCTTACAATCTAGTCACCATGTGTGAGGAAGCCCAAGTCACAGGTAGGTATTCTGGCCAACAGCAGGCTCAGTGTCAGCCTTTAAGATGACCCCAGTGCTCGTCATCATCTGACTGCAAATGCATGAGATCCAGAGCAAGAACCATGAGTAAAGCCCAGCCAAACTTACACTATTTTGAAACTTTAACAATGTGAGAATGGCTACCCTTGATGGGGCTTCCAGAGTGCTGTAACAGGCTACTTCTTGATCTGGGTGCAGATTTTACCAGATGTGTTCATTTTGTCAAAATTTATTGTTATATGCTTAACAATTTGTAAAACTTGTGATATATATCAATAAAAATTCAATAGTATTAATGTGTATATATACATTTACATAAACATAGAGATGCTTATATATACATATTACGATGACTAAACAGTCCATACTCCAAAATATAAATGATGATTAAGTAGTGAGACTATCTGTAATTTTAATTTTCTTGTTCAGGTTGTAATGCTGCAATCTGAAAAAGTTAAAATTGAAAAAAAAAAAATTCTTAACTCTCTTTACTAAGTTGTGAAAACTTTAAACTGGGATGTTAAATAAGAGCAAGCATCTGAACACATCAAAATAAATGAGCCATGTGATCAAATCCCAACTTGAAATAAAAATTTAAGCTGTAACTTACATAAAATAGCCATGTAGCAATTCTATTTCCTGTCCCCAGCTCTTTGAAAGCATCTGGCTCGTCTTTCTGTGAATAAAACACAACTAAATCAATGGCGTAAAATCCAGTAATTCAAATTTCCAGTGGCAACTAATCAGTAATATGCTGAAGGGTATGCCAACAACAATCCAAAAAGGGTCCTTTACTCTTTCCAGCACACTATATGCATCAGGCATTCAAATACTTGTTGGTTGCTGATTCAGCTATTCAGCTGGTACAATGAATACTTTTGATAAGACCACTGGAAGAAAACACCCCAGATTTATTTGCCAAAATCAGGAGAACAAATAGCTACTACCCACGGATTAAAAAATTAATACCTATAGTTTTAGCTTCTAAAGAAAACAAGACATGAGAGCTTCTTAGCTACATTTGTAAAGTCTAACCTCTGTGGGTAAAAAATTTACCTTGAGATTTTCTTTGAACTCATGATCCATTCAAATGTTTACTGCTACTATGACTTTCTTTTGGACAGTCAGTACTTTAATCTGGCTGGAGAATTCACATCTGGCTATTTAAATCTAAATTAAAATATAATATAGTCTCGGCATTTTTCAGAGAAAAATGAAAATGTATTTTTCAAACAGAAATTTACACACATCATTACTTGTAATAGCCCCAAACCGGAAACTTAATGTCCATCAGAGGATGAATGACCAAAAAAACTGATACATTCATACTATGGAATACAGCAGCAATAAAAAGGAAAACACTATCGATATTTTCTGCAAGACTCAGATGAACCTCAAGGGAATTATGCTGAGTGAAAAGAGACATTCTAAAAAGGATACATACTATACATAATATTGTGAAGTAACAATTATAGTGAAGAACAGATTAGTGGTTACCAGCAGTTAAGAATGAGAAGAAGAAGGGTGTGTGCAGCTATAGTACTGCAAGGGAGTCTTGTGGTGATGGTGTGGTTATACATTTTGATTGTAGTGGTAGTTACAAAAGCTACACATGTAATAAAACTACACACACACCTGCAAATATAACTAGTGAAATATGAATAAGCTCTGTGGCTTATGTTTTTTAAATTTTATCCTATCTTTTGTTTTTTAAATGCCAATTTCCTGGTTCTGACAGTGTACTATATTTATGCAAGATGTTAACACTTGAGTTGGCTGAATGAAGAGTGCATGCATGGGAATTCCCTATACATTTCTTTGCAACTTCGAAGGAATCTATAATTCAAAATAAAAATAAAAATAAATAGTTATACTAATGTCAGGGCTTGAACTGTAGTCTTTCACATCACCCAAGACCTTCAGACATTTTTCAATAATTGAAAACAGGAGGAAAAGAGACTAATAATATATTTCTTGCCAGCCTACATAGAAAAAGGTCTAGGATTCTGAGATTAAGCCAGTCAAGGGCTGTAACACAATATATAAACCGCACTTTCTTTTAAAAGAACATACCCTTATTTAAAAATGGAAACAGACCAAGAAATTTATTAAAATACCTGGCACATTCTTTAGAATTCATGGAATTATGATAAAGCTTAAATTAAGATTTGGTAATGCCATACTTTGTAGTTCAGTGTGTTAAAGAAGGAAAAAACGTTCAATACTTATTAATCTTAAGCAAGAGTACTTGGGCAGCAACAGCTTTTCAGCAAACTGCTTTGATATTTATTCCTGGCCTCTTTATATCTATTTTATATTTTTTATTTTCCTGTCTCTCAAAACATGTCCTTGTAATTTCTTCAATTTCTTGGCCAATTCACGAATTCACCTCAGTGGTCTCTAATCTGTTTTAATTTATCCACTAAATTTTAAATTTCAACAATTACTTTTTTCTAAAACTTGTTTATTTGTCAAATAAGTTATTTGAGAGGTTATTTTTATCCTATCTTTTGTTTTTTAAATGTTACATAGTTATTTTATATTCTGTATCTGATAATTCAAGTATCTAATACCCTAGAGGTGTCTAAATCTGATGGTTGCTTCAGTCTCACCAATGGTGTTTTATTACCAGTTAGTAATTTTTTTTACATGAGTTCATATTTAGCAGAACTTAATCTTTAAAATTCCCAAGGTGCTAGAATAAGGATGCCTCTCTGGGAGATATGAGTTTGTTTCTGCCAGGCACCAAGGAGCACCACTAAGTTGAACAATTTTAAATTAATTTCTACTTTTCCAGTGTAGTAAAATTTAAATCCAAGATTCATGCAAGCGCAGGCCTGTGCTTTCTAAGTCCCAGAAGAAGCTTCCCATACATACCACACTCCACCCAGAATGGTAAGAGGCAATGCATTTAAAAATATCCTAAATTCTTTTACTGTATAGCTAGTGTTTTTTTTTTTCCTAAAAAGGCTTCACCATACTAAAGAAGAGAATTAACATGTCATGCCTAAGTTTCAGTGAGACTCCTACATTCTCTTTTTTTACTTACCCGTGCAAAATCAAAATGGGGTTCATACTGTCCTCCAACTCCATAATTTGCTACCTGAAGAAGAGAAACAAAGCATGAATGAAAGAACTATCGAAATTACTATTTAAAAAAAATCTATAATCCCCATTATGGCCTCATATATCATGATTAGGTACTTCTACAGAAATGAGAAGAAGAGCATTTTAAATTAATGAGAGTTCTTGAGGAACCAAAGATGAAAAACTAAGGATGGCTACTATGTGCTATTTTAGAACTTCTATTAATATGCTTTTCTTTAGCAAATGTTTGGGGGAAATGTTTTTCCCTAACATGTAATTTAAACTAAAATTTGAACTAGAATATTAGAATTAAAAATTTCTAGAACTAGAATTTTGAGATTTATATTAATTCAAACTAAACACTTTCCTTTGGAATTTAAATCGAGACATATCTTCCAAAGCTCAAAATGCTGTCTGAATTAAGCCAAAGCCTACTCCAGAGCAAGGCCCCAACTCTCCAATTCTATGAAGGCTGAAAGAGGTGAAAAAGCTACAGAAGAAAAAACTGATGCTAGCAGAGGTTGTTTCATAAGGTTTAAGGAAAGAAGCTGTCTCCATAACATAAAGGTGCAAGGTAAAGCAGCAAGTCCTGATATGGAAGCTGCAGCAAGTGATCCAGAAGATCTAGCTAAAATAATTAATGAAGGTTAAGGTTGGTGGCTACACTAAACAAGATTTGCAGTGTAGACTAAACAACCTTATATTGGAAGAAGATGCCATCTAGGACTTTCATAGTTAGAAGTCAATGCCTGGATTCAGAGCTTCAAAGGACAGGGTGACTCTCTTTTTAGGGACTAATGCAGCTGGTAATTTTAAGTTGAAGTCAATGCTAATTTATCATTCCGAAAACCCTACGGCCCTTAAGAATTATGCTAAATCTACTCTGCCTGTGCTCTATAAATGGAACAACAGCATATCTGTTCACAACATGGTTTACCAAATATTTTTGCCAGCAGTCCCCAACCTTTTTGGCACCAGGAACCAGTGCTCCTATGAGAATCTAATGCTTGATGATCTGAGGTGGGGCTGAAGCAGTGATGCTAGTGCTGGGGAGCGGCTGCGAACACAGATGAAGCTTTACTCGTTTGCCTGCCGTTCACCTCCTGCTGTGCAGCCCGGTTGCTAACAGGCCACAGACCAGTACCTGTCTGCAGCCCAAGGGTTAGAGACCCCTGTTTTAACCCCTGTTGAGTCTACTGCTCAGAAAAAAAGATTTCTTTCAAAATGTGACTGCTCATTGACAATGTACCTGGTCACCCAAGAGCTCTCTGACTGGAGCTATACAATGAGGTTTTAATTCCTGCTAACACAACATCTATTCTGCAGCCTATGGATCAAGGAGTAATTCTGACTTTCAAGTCTTTTTAAGAAATACATTTCATAAGGCTATATCTGCCATAGGTAGTGATTCCTCTGATGAATCTGGGCAAAGTAAATTGAAACCCTTATGAAAAATATGTTTTCTAGATGCCATTAAGAATATTCGTGGTTCATGGGAAGAGGTCAAAATAGCAACATTAACAAGAATTTGGAAGAAGCTGATTCCATCTCTCAAATGATTTTGAGGGTTCAAGGCTTCAGTGGAAGAAGAAACTGCAGATGGGGTGGAAACAGCAAGAGAACTAGAATTGGAAATGGAGCCTAAAGATGTTACTGAATTGCTGCAATCTCATGATAAAATTTTAACATGAGGGGCTGCTTCTTATGGATGGCGAAAAAAGTGGTTTCTTGAGATGGAATCTACTTGTGGGAAGACACTGTGAAGATTGTTGAAATAACAACAAACAGTTTAGAATATTACATAAACTTAGTTGATAAAGCAGTGACAGGGTTTGAGAGGAAACTAATAATTAAAGAAGTTCTACTGGGGGCCAATGCTATCAAACAGCATTGCACGCTACAGAGAAATCGTTCATGAAAGGAAGATTCGGTCGATGCGGCAAACTTTATTACTGTCTTTAAGAAAATGCTGCCCCAGCCTTTCAGCAACCACCACCCTGCTCAGTCAGCAGCCATTAACACTGAGGCAAGACCCTCTCCTCCACCAGCAAAAAGATTACAGCTTGCTGGAGGATAAAATAGGTTAGCATTTTTTTTTTTAGCAATACAGTGTTTATAAATTAAGGAATGTACATTTTTAGATATAGTGCTATTGCACACTTAATAGACTACAGAAGAGTGTAAACATAACTTAGGGCACTGGGAAACCAAAAAATTCACGTGACTCACTTTATTGTGATATTCGCTTTCTAGCTATGGTCTGGAACCAAACCCACAGTATCTTTGGGGTGTGCCTGTACTTAAAGCATATGGGGTTTCTTTTTGAAGTAATGAAAGTGTTCTGGAATTAGATAGCATTGATGGTTGCAAAACCATCTGAATATAATAAAACCAGGGTAAATTTTACGGTATGTGAATTATATCTCAATAGAAAAGAGAAAAAATAAACTATCAAAAAATAAAACAAAACAAAACTGCACTGGTCAGGCCTAGGAATAAAAAAATTACAGTGTACTTAATGTTAATGTTACATAGTTTTCATTTCCCTGTAAATTTATATCAAAAGAGTTTTTAATGTTTTGATAAAGGTCACAGAGCAATCATAACTTTCCCATTGATTTATTAAGATCACTTTGCACATTTCAGCTTAATTATTCACTTTTACAGTCCCAAACTATCATGAAAATTGAGTACTGCCTATACAGTGTCAGGAAATCTAATCTGAAGCATCTTTTGAAGAAGTGTAAAGATAACTTCAGGATAATGTGGTTACCCACCTGTAACTCCTCTGCTGTGGAAACATCTAATCCTGTCAGATCTTGTATTCTCATGTTAATTCGAGACACCACGGGGTTTTCATAGCCAGAGAGCCAGGCACTAAAAACAAGAAGAAAATATTAGTTTTACTGATAATGTTTCAATACATGAACACCAAGAGGAGTCATATAGAAAGCCATTATATAGGACAATAAGCCTTACCTATAGGCATTTAGTTGATTTGCTTATATATGAATTTTACTAATGAATGCTGTGATTTTAAAAGGTGTTATAATCCACAGTTGGAGGTTAAAAAAAGGAAAAAACTAATTTATTATAGAGTTTCTATGAAAATAGATTAATGTAAGAAGATTATATAGGGCTGTCTATATTGAGAATTTTTTTAAATTCTGGAAACATACCAAACTGAAAACAACTGATCCTCTTGGTAAGGTATAGGAATTGACTGGGGTGGGAGTCATAGGGGTTTTAGCCTGATTTATATAATGCTAAAATTTACCCTGGTTTTATATAATGCTAATACAAAAAAAATTCATGTATTACTTCAATAAATTAGTTTTTAAAAGGTACCCACACACGCCCAGTAGAATAGCTATAATCAAAAAGATGGACAATGACAAGTGTTGGCGAGGATGTAAAGAAACTAGAACCTTCACATACTGCTGGTAGAAATGTAAATGGTGCAGCCACTTTGTAAAACAGTCGGGCAGTTCCTCAAGTTGTTAAACCTAGAGTTACCATCTGACCCAGCAATTTCAGTCCTAGGTATATACCCAAAATTAATTAAAACACATATACAAAAACTTGTACATAAATGTTCATAGCAGCATTATTAATAATGGCCACAAAGTGAATGTAATCCCAATGTCCCTCAATTGATGGATATATAAAATGTGATATATCCAGATTATGAATTATTGTGCCATGAAAAGACATACTGATACATGACACAATATGGATGGATGAACCTTAAAAACATTGTTAAGTAAGATAAACCAGATACAAAAGGCCACATATTATGATTCCATTTATATGAAATATCCAGAATGGGCAAACCGAAACATAAAATAGAAACAGTGCCAGAGAAAGGGGAGAATGAGGAAAGACCCTGAATGGGTATAGATTTCTTTTTAAGGAGTGATAAAAATGTTTTGGAATTAGATAATGGTGATGGTTGCACAACTAAAAAGACTAAAAACCATTTAACTGCACACTTTCAAAAGGTGAATTTTATGATAAAAGAACTATAGCTCAATATAAAAAGGAACCCCAAAATTCACCTATCTCCTTTACATATGCTTTTTCTCTCAGTCTATCAGCCTTTTCCTTTCTTCACCTCTCCTCTCATCAAGTTTTGATTTCATGATCCATCATTTCAACATGCTTGCTAAAAGTCTCAATTCAACTGTCTGGTAAAAACACAATCCATCCAGAATGAATTTTTTTCCACAATCTGTACCTGTCACTAAACCCTATTGGAGAAACCATCTGATCTACCTACATTTGCATCTATCCATTCCTTTTCGTTTATTCTAGATTCTTCATTCCAGTTCCAAGAGGAGATTTCTCTCTCTTATCTAAGGCCAATCCTCTGCCTTAGATTTTATTATCTCCTGACATTTTAAGAACCAAAAGGGCTAAAATGATCAGCCCTTTTATTATGTAACCAACTTCCCTTCTGAATATATCCTCCCACAGTTTTTAACTAGACTTAAGTCTCTCTCATTAATAAAAATTTAAAATTCTTTCCCGAACTCTCTATTTCCCTCCAGCTACCAACCTTTCTCCTCCCTGTTCAAGTCAGCTTTTTCAAACTCCTCATTACTCAATTCATTCCAACATAGCTTTAGTCTCCTATCACTCCATCAAAACTTTTATTGCTAATATCACCCATAACCCTACCATGCTACCAAGTCGAACAAGACTTTCTAATTCTCATTGTATCTGCTCTTTTAGTAATACTTCATAATGTTCATCTTTCTTGAGACTCCTCTCGCTCATTCTCCAGGTACTCCCTTCAGTCTCTCGGGCTGGTCTGTCTCCCTTATAGCCTCTCTCCCAGTGCCCCAGCAACAATTCTAGAACACGTTTTCTCTAGCCCTAAGGCTAGTGCACATGCTCTTCTCTTTGTCCAGAATATTCTTTTACATTTTGCAAAGTTAAGGTTTTAGATTATCACTTTAGTCATTTCTTTTTCAGAGAAGTCTTCCTTGACTCTTCTCCATGTCAGATTATGTCAAAGCTTCCTAATTTTTTTCTTCTTGAAGGAAGGAGGAGGAGGAGGAGGAAGTTTTTACTAAGCATAATGTGAAACTGACATGACAGCTATTAGACTGAACCAGGATAAATAATATTGTTATGAAATGTACATCTCTCAAATCCATGTCAGAGGAAAATATATTAGGATCTTCATGAACTGATTTCAAAAAAATCATTTTTAAAATAATAACAATATATTTTCTCAGACTATGCTAAGAAGTTGTCAGAAAGGCAATTATAAAATCTGTAAAGATAATAATTGACAGATTAGGACTGTTTTGTGAAACATTAAGAATCATATCCCTTTTTTAGCTGTTACATCAATACACCTTTTTCAATAGAGTAGGACAATCATTTGCTGTGGGTGCTGCCATGATCTGCAAATTTCTTCTTAAGTAACAGACACTCGATGGTTCAAGACTGAAGTAAATTTTTCTTCTAACTCTGTCCTCTTTTGGATCACAAGCAAATATGTGTCTTTTGTGTATAGGTGGGCAAATATTATAAAATGCAGCTGTTGTAATCTTCTTCACAATTAAAGAAGGGCAATTAATTATTAGGAATATGCCTTAGAAACATTAGTTTTTAAAAACAGCAAGGCTTCAGAATAACTTCTCAAAACTAGCTTGCCATTTTAGTGCATGACCTGATAACATTACACATTTGATCTGTATTTGAGTCATTTCTTCTATTGACTACACTTTGCCCTCAATGAGAATTAGTGCTGTGGTTTCAAATAATTGTTACATACTACAAATTTTAAAATAAGTTTTCATTTCACTGAACTGAGATTTTTTTCACTCATGTACCTGTGGAAGGTAATTTGAGAACACAATATCTTCATACATATATGTGTATATATGTGTTTTTAAAGTAAATTACTTTTAAGGTAAAATAAATTAAAACTAGACTACAGGGCCAACTATGAGGAACAATATTCTCCCTTAGAAATCCTTTTCTAGGCTGAGGAAGGCAAGTACTATCTGCTGAAGGATTTCATGAGGCTATAGTGTTTTTATCATCTGTTAGTTCCACACTGCCATGTCTTACCACCACAACCACATGCATGTCTGCTTCCTCAGCCACACTAACCTCTAGAGTAATGTCTGTGAGAAATAGGATGTTGTTGACTGAGCACCCAATGCCTTTGTAATCTTTCAGTAACTCTCACTCTCTACTTGGTGCCCAATCTTGGTATCAAAGTTACTATCAAGCTCAAGAACATCTTCTTCTGGAGAATATCCAAGTAATAATTTCTGTACCTCTACACTCCCTGAAGAATAGATATACATCTTTGTCCCAGCCTCTGTATTTCCTAATTGCTGGAACTACATGTTTAAAAAATGTTGCTTTCATGTACCCAACTGTGAATGCTGCCCGCCACGTGTAGCCCTGACATTATTTCAGTCCCATGGTCTTTCAGTCTAGAGACATCTGCCAAAACACGTTGTCTACCACAGCCCAGATCGTCTATTACAGGCCATCCAACCCATTGCCAGATGCTACAGGGATCAGAACACCCCAACCCAGTGGGAATCCTCTTCAGCCTAGTTCCTCAAAATATTGAGGTCTTGCTGGCACTTCTTTCCAAGAGGGAAGAAGTAACTTTGTTTGCATATACTCTTAACATTTTCTTTGATGTAATGAAATAAAATGTTCTTCACAAAAGCAATCAAGCTTGTGGTACCTTTGATACCTAACAGGATCACAGTGACTTTGGTGGGCACCTGCTGGGTGCTGCTATAGGAATCACCTTAGTGGTTGAGAGGGTAGTGGGTGATGGCAGCTGTACCCCCAGAACCATCCTGGGTTTCCCACAGCCCTCCAGTAAGCTGCTGGCAACTGCTTGCAGCTGGAAGCACATCCGGAAGAGGGTACCTCCATGCATCTGAAAGCAGGGCAAGCAGCTGCTCTAAGGTTTTTTATAGTACTATATATCCTTCCTTTGTAGCATTTATCACAATAACTTGTTATTTAAGGTAAGATATCTTCCTTCAATTACTAATTCCAAATACATGTAGATTCTGCCTGGTTTTGCTCTTTATTTGCAGAATCTATTACAGTGCCTGGCATATAGATACTCAATAAATATTTGCTGAGTAAATAAATCCTGAAGGCTTCTTAGAACTAATCTAAGATTTATTCTATTTTACCATAATTATTTATCTGGTGATCTCTTGCAAATTTATAGGGAGTGGCTGAGTAAAATTTCTCAGTGTAGCAGAATTAAGGATCCAAGAATTGTGTTATAAAGGATGTAGCTGATAATTATACTAAGAACTTATTTCTCTCGATCTGAGTTCCTGATAGAACTAAATTAGTATGTCAACATACCTATCTTTTCTGCCTATCACAATTTGATAGATTTTTGAACTCTAATAAGCAACCAACTACTGACTTGATTTTTATAGATAACTGCAACAAAAGATTGGCAAGTGTTCTAATAAAGTTTCAAACTAAATACATCTTGATAAGATGACTTCCTATTTCATCCTGGAACCTAACACCCATAGAGAACCTGTCTTCTATTTCTGATATCTTCATCTTCCTTCCCTGCCACCACCAAAATTTAAGCATCTATTCTTACCTTTTCCTCTTGTATTCTTACCTTTTTCTCTTATACTTTGGTAGAAGCACTGTTCTTCAGCCTTACAGAGGCTGGATAGTCTATGTATTTGTTTGAATCTATCCTTTCTAATTCCCTAGGCTTTATTCCAGCAGTTACTGCTTCCCTTTTTATATTTAATCTTTTCTTTGACAATGCTTGTTTATTCCACCTGAAGTCTTCTGCTACCAAGAACGCCTTCCCTAGCAATTACAATTGCAGTCTTTTACTTTAC